AGGATTGGGCCTCGGCCTCTCATGGCTTGTCTCATTGGCACGCAGTTCAGCAGCACACGTGATGGGGACAGGTAAGAGAGGAGATGTCCAGTGTCTGCTGATGTGGTGTTGAATGCTTTGAGTAGCTGGAAAATTTGCCTTGGAAAAAAGAATATGTTGCTTCTAATGGGAAATAATGTTGCAGGGATCTCGAATGAGAAGAAGCCAAGAGGAAAATAATCTGCTGTGCCATTCTTATGTCTCCTGCAGGTTTTGGTGGAAGAACAGAGGGGTTTTCACTTCCCAGCAGCACTCTTCACTGGCCCAAATCTCCTTGTCACAAATAATATGTGACAACAAAGTGTCAAGAAATATCTTCCGGGCCAACAGATATCCTGACTCCTTTGTGAACTGCAGCAGGATCCCAAAGCTGGACCTCAGAGCCTGCAGGTCAAAGTGGATGGAGGAAAGTACCGAGCAAGGTGTCAGCCTCAAAGAGCAGACAGTTCCTGCCTGCGAGCAAGTGCAAATCTCTGCCATCATTAACAGCTCAGACAATCCCAGCTGAGCTCTGCCCCCACTTCCCCTGAGGATGTTAAGTCACGTTCTCCATAGGGCTGTGGCATCATCAGATTGAAGGTGTTACAAGGTGCTTCCGTAAATGCCACCCTCATAGGGCCAGAAGAAGAAAGGCTTGTTGGGCTGCAGGCAGCTGTCGGCAGGGAGGGATGTCCAGAGCAATCTGCTGCTCACTGCAAAGGCAGTGCCTGAGCTGTTGGGCCCTCCTTTCCAGCTTAACCCATGGAAATGAATCACAAAGACAGCTATGGCGTGTCCTTTTCTGCTTTGTTAACACATGGGTTTTCTTGTCCTGCAAAAGAAGCGTCTGGCGACTGATACTAAGAATGCTGAGGAGTCCCCAGAAGCCTGGATATGGGAAGATACTGAGATAGATTCTTGTAATTGTTTATTTTTCGGTGTCTATGCTTGCTCCATGTTGGCATGAAGTCTTTCTAAAGAGATGGAATCCACTGATAAGGAAACTGCATGAAAAGATATTCCAGATCTGTGCAAACTGCTCAGTATCACAAACCAACCAAACCAAACCAACTGTGTGCTTAGGCAGCGACACATGCATTGGGTTCCAGGAAGCCTTGCTGTCAAATGACAGGTTTTGAACCCTCTTTTTGCATGAAATAGCACAAAGGTTCCAATCTACATAAAAAGGTGTTGGGGCATTGGAATAGATTTGCTTTCTTTCCTTTTTTTTTTAATTTTTATTGTTTTCTGAGGAGTACACAATTTAGTTTCCAGAGAAAATATAGGCAGGCTGAAGTACAAGACAGAAGGAGACAATCTAATTTCTCCCCTCGATTCCTTTTACTAAGGGGTTCAAAACTTCTTTGTCTTTCTTCTGTAACTTGCTGTCTTAGACTATCATGGACCAATAAATTGCAACTTTGAGCTGAGACCAAAATGCTCCATGCACTTTGTAGGAGGTGCAGTAATGGGAGACAAGTGGAGGATGGTGGTGGGTTTCTTTTGGGAATACTGGGCAAAGCAGATTCAAGTGCAGAACCCGTGTATTTGTAATGAAGGATGGTATTTCTTGCTGGACTTAGTATTCATTCCAAAAACCATTTGGCAATAGCATCCTCTTTACCTCTTTTAAAACTGGAAGAGATGTGTGAGATCCTCAGAGACAAAGAAGAGGTGTGGATAACAGTTTCTCCCAGCGCTGGGCCAAGACATCAAGGTAGCAAAATGCGGTGTGTAGGCTGACAAGCATCAGCCTGGGCATGCCTTCAAGACAGAAGGGTTCTCACATGCAAACATGCCCTGGCAGTGTGTGCCCTGGCACACTGCCTCCGTGATAAAATTCCTTGTGCTGAAGGATTCAACAGAGGCATTGGGTGTGAGATGCCTGACTGCACTGGATATTTGTCTCAGTCTCTGACTTTTGTTTTCTAGTATTGGTAAGAGGATGCATTCGTTACCTTTCGACTTCATCAATTAACTTAATGAAGATGAAATAGAACAGTTCAATCAGAAGAGACCTTCAAAGATCACTGAGTCCAAATAATTGGCTCAAAATCATCCACGATCCTTCCGTGTGCACAGAGGACTTGCTTTCAGAATTTCATCTGAGTGCAAAGCCAAAATGTGGAAAACTGAATCAAGCTTCTTAGACTGATCAAACTGCCTATCAAATGCACGAACTGCATGCACCACAGGATCAGGGCTTTGCAGGAGATTCCCAGTAGACAGAGAAAAAGCATTCTTCCCTATCGTAACAGTGCGATGTTGAGACAAGGACTAGAGAGTTGTTGGGACTCCATTCTTGGAGTTATTCCAGCCTCACCTGGAAAAGTCTGTAAGCAAATCTGTGTGGTGTTGGGATTCGCCATGCCCCAGGCAGCTGGTTGGACTGCAGATCTCCAAGGTCGTTAATTTTTCTACATGATTCTTTGATTTACAGTGATAACCTGCTCTATTTTCCACTTCTCTCTGCTGTCCTGTGCGCTCTCTCCAGGAAGGAAAGAGCACAAGTTCTTCTGTCACAGATGCCAGAGGAAGCTTCATGAATCAGCATACATTCCCTTGTGGAAACACTTCTCTTTTTATCATTAATGGGAAGTTCCATCTACTTGTTCACTCATAAGTATCTGTGTCTTGTACAACTGGGTTAAATGTGGATTCATCATGAAGCTGGAGCATGACAAATACAGCTTCCTTAGTCTCCCTTCTCTAATACATTTATCCTGCAATCCTTTCAAAGCTTTTAACATCGACGTTGATGTCTGTATAGCTGAGCTCCTTTACTACCACTTTCCTTTTTTGAGGACTGATGTGGTCCCTGGCAGTGAGCAGTCCCAATACTCAGCCTTTCGATCACTTGTTCCAATCTGTTCCAGTGGAGAAATTTGTGCCAGCCCTTTCCAGTGGGAACTGCCCCCATTCCAGTATCCAATCCTCCGATTTCATCTTGAAATAATTCCTTTCTCACTTAGAAGTCAACTGTGATCTTTGACTTAACTCCTCTGTCCAGGTTTGCTTTACTGACAGCAGCCAGATCTCTTTTAAGCCTTCTTTAAAGATAATGGGTAACTAGTGCTAGGATGAGAGGGAACGGCCTCAGGTTGTGCCAGCAGAGGTCCAGGTTCAACGTTAGGGAAAACTCCTCCAAAAGAGTGGTGATGCATTGGCACGGGCTGCCCAGGGACGTGATGGAGTCACCCTGGAGGTGTTCAGGGAAAGGGCAGATGTAGTACTTAGGGACACAGCCAGTGGGCTGCGCTGGTGGATGGTTGGACTGGATGACCTTAGAGGTCTTTTCCCACCTTAATGATTCTGTGATTCTATGATTCCATGTGCTTGCTGTGAACAAGTTAATTTTCTTAATCTTTTTGCATTACATTAGACATCATCTTCTGACCAGCGTTTGGATTAGCAGAGTTGTGAGTCAGAGTCTTCTTGATGAAAGCTCTTGATGAAGCTTCTTGATGAAAGCTCTTAGTACAATCAAGACCCCCCGCCCCCTACATAAGATGAGTTTAAATTTCTCTGAAGAGGTTTCAAAGACCCAGGGGGAAATGGGAGTCAGCTGAACACAGGTATGTTTAGTCTGAAGGTCAGAGCTTCATTAGAGCTGTCATTTCTGAAAACACCTGGAAGGTTATGCAAGACCTTCTGGAATGGGAGTGTGATGGGTCTTGATCCAGCAGATCCTTGCAACAGAATATTATATATATTATTATATTATAATTTTTAATATTATTAATATTAATAATATTAATAATAATATTAATAATTATATATATTATTATATTATAATTTTTAATATTATTAATATTAATAATATTAATAATAATATTAATAATTATAATAATTAATAATTAAAAAGTTAATTAAAATTTAAAAATTAATAATTATAATAATAATATTAATAATGTTAATATTATAATTTATAATATTATAATTATACCAGAGGATTTCAGTATCAGTGGGTTTGGAGTGCAAGTGAACTGATTATCCCTTCACTGTGAGTTAGGAATGGCATCACTTTTATTACATCTTGCATTTTCACAGAATCACAGAATCACAGAATCGTAGGGGTTGGAAGGGACCTCCAGAGCTCATCGAGTCCAACCCCCTGCCAAAGCAGGTTCCCTACAGCAGGTCGCACAGGTCGGCATCCAGGCAGGTCTTGAACATCTCCAGAGAAGGAGACTCCACCACCTCCCTGGGCAGCCTGTTCCAGTGCTCCTCACCTCACTGTAAAGCAGTTCCTTCGCACATTGGTGCAGAACTTCCTATGCTGCAGTTTCCAGCCGTTTCCCCTTGTCCTGTCTCCACTCACCACTGAAAAGAGTCTGGCCTCGCCATTCTGCCCCCACACCTTAGATATTTATAGACCTGGATCAGGTCTCCTCTCAGTCTCCTTTTCTCAAGGCTGAACAGACCCAGTTCACTCAGCCTTTCCTCATAGCAGAGATGCTCCAGGCCCTTCACCATCTTGGTGGCCCTCCGCTGGACTCTTTCCAAGAGATCCTTGTCTTTTTTGTACTGGGGTGCCCAGAACTGGATGCAGTACTCCAGATGAGGCCTTACCAGGGCAGAGTAGAGGGAGAGGATCACCTCCTTCGACCTGCTGGACACGCTATTTTTAATGCACCCCAGTAAGCCATTGGCCCTCTTGGCCACAAGGGCACACTGCTGGCTCATGGCCAACCTGTCGTCCACCAGGACACCCAGGTCCCTTTCCGCAGGGCTCCCCTCCAGCAGCTCATCCCCCAACCTGTACTGGTGCATGGAATTATTCCTGCCCAGATGCAAGACTCTACACTTGCTTTTGTTAAACCTCATCTGGTTTTTTTCTGCCCAGCTCTCCAGCCTGTCCAGGTCTTGCTGAATGGCAGCACAGCCTTCAGGCGTGTCAGCCAATCCTCCCAACTTCGTATCATCAGCAAACTTGCTGAGGGTGGCCATTATCCCCTCATCAAGGTCATTGATGATTTCCCATACTCGTAAGCAACATTACCAACTGCTGAATGCCTCGTACACCCAGCAGCCTTGCACACTCTTGCATATCTGGCATGTTTTTGAGACTGGTCCCTTTCACAGACATTACATCACAGGAACCTGTCTCCTAGTAGATCGGGATGGAAAAACTGCTCATCAAATCAGCCTCCAGCAAAGTGTGAAAGACCATCACTGATCTGGGTAGGGTTAGTACGGGACGGGGCAAAGTTAATAGGCATTAGGTACGTAATTGTGTCCTGGGTGCCCAACTCTGCAACAGCAAACAGAGCGGTGAGGAGCTGTGGCTGAAATGCTTTGCTTTGGCTGCCTCTCCTGTGGTTACCAAAAATCCTTGAGCAGTCACTTATCTCCATTTTTCCCACGAAAAGCAAGATTGCTGGGTAAGCCCAGGGAACAAGGAGCACAACCAGTGCCTCGCTGTTATGCCTTTCCTCTCTTTGTGAGTTGCTGCTTCTCCATTTTACTGTTCTCAGGGGTTTGATTTTGTTCTTCAGGCTTTGGTGACATCTGCTATGGTTTTATGGGTCCCCTGAAGCTCCTTTGAGAATCTGTAGATCTCGGTACTGTTTGGAATTTACCATTGTTCATTTTATTCTTCAGTCCCATTGCACAGATCCTTTTCACGCTCAGTCTTTAGGAGCTGAAACACTGCCCGCACACTCTCAGGTTCTACTTGCAATACTCTTATTTACCTCTTCACGTATGGAGATGCTGTCTGAAGGTACGCCTGCCTCTGGCCATGGAAATGACACTTTGTTTATCTCACTGTCTAGACACGTGTCATTTTTTGTCACTTTTCCCACTCCAGCTGAGAATGTCCGATTGCTGAGCACAGTGCCTCTAATGCCCATATGTGGGGGGCAGGGGCTGTCAGCTGTGATCACTGCTTTTCTCTTACTTTTCTCCATAATACCAATTTCTGGTTTCCAGGACCTCTTGCAGTCAGCTCACAGTTCTCATGCACAGAGCTTGACACAGAAGCATGCTTGTGACAGAGGGCTCCTGCCCTATAGATTCACAAAATCACAGAATCATGGAGGCTGGAAAAGACCTCTCAGATCATCCAGTCCAACTGCCCACCTACAACCAATGCTGCCCGCTGCCCAGCTCCCTCACTGCCACCTCCCCAGGGCTCTGGAACACCTCTGTGGACGATGACCCCACCGCCTCCCTGGGCAGCTGTGCCTCTGCATCACCATTCTTTCAGATAAGTTTTTCCTAATATCCATCCTAAAGGAGGGCTGTGTCCCCAAGCATACGGTGTTCAGCCAGCCCACAGCCACGTACGCACCCTCCGCATTACAGAGCCTTGCTATTGCATGTTTGCCTCTGCTTGCCAGCCAGCTCCCACACACAGCAGCTCTGCAGCTCCCTTGCTAAACCTGCTTTCTGTGGTTATATTCACTACAGCTCCAGCCTTGCAGAAGCGTCTCTCCTGAGTCTCATTCATCATTGCACCACCTACACATAATGATCAGAAGAATCTAAACTCTGCTCCACAACATTGGGTGCCAGTTGCTCATTGACTGCACTGTGCAACGCTCCTCTGGTTGACCCTGGGCTGAAGGATGGAGCTATTGCTTCTTCACTACCCATTTACTTTCCTGCTCATTGCAGTTCTAATCCTTTGCTGGCTGTATCCTACATTCAGATACTTCTGCACGATGACCTTCTACCAGCTGTGGATCTTCACCATCAGCTTCCTGGTTATTATCATTGCTCTTCCTCGTGGCCGCAGCTGCGAAAATATGAAGTAAGTTGGCTGTGGCCTCTTTGTGCTGTGTGCATTGACGGAAGAAGCTTGCACTTTGCATGGGAGGGTCCTGGGAGCTGTGCTGCAGTGGGGAGAAATTAGTTGCACGCTGGAATGCACAGCAGCAGTGCACATTTGGGGCAGTGGGTTAGGTGGGAGCTGGGGTCAGCTCTGCCACACAACAGCCCAGCCCTTTGTGGCCTCCTGAGGCAGTACAGAGGAGGGATTCACTCCGCCAGAAGGCGTAAGCTGCAGAGCAAGGTCCCAATTCTCTCCTCTCTGAGCCTGTTTTTCACTTTAAGAAATTTTCTTGACTTTTCTGCCTGACTTTTTTTTTCTTTATTTTTCCAATGTCTACCTGTCCTCCAGTGGCAAAATCACCTCTCTTCCCACTATTTGGGCAATAGGGGTGCCAGGTGCATGGCAGGTTTGCTGCAGCCCATACACACAGCTCAGCAAGTTGACAGTGGAGTAGAGTACAAACAGATGCACTATGAATTTGGGCATTATATTCAAATACATGTGGGCTGGTATTCAGCTGATCCACACGACTGTGATATTTGGAGTTGCTAGGCCATTGGTCTAACCTATCCCAAAGAAAACCTGCCAGCTGCATTTGTTTTCTCCAGTGGCAGCTGAAGAGCCATTGTAGTTGCTTTTCTCCTAGACAGAGAAGTCAAATCTGGGACTATGGACAAACAAGCTGCTTCTCAGGAGAAGTCTGTGAGGTGGGCTGGTCTGGAAGATCGGTGTTTTGTTCCTTTGCTCAATTTTAGTTTCTCTTTAGCTCACATCTGTTCCCCTTTTCCAGGATTCTGCGCGTGGCGATTCTTGCAGCCAAATATTTCCTTGGTATCAAGATAGCGGTGAAGGGCGAGGAGAACCTCAGCACTAAGAAGCCTTGTGTGCTCGTGTTGAATCACCAGAACTCGCTGGACATTATGGGTATGTGGGGAGCCCCATCCTGCCTTCTCCTCCTTGCTACATAGTTATGAAATCCCTAATAGCACAGGCTGCTAGGAAGTCTTCCCACTTAGCCCCAAGCCCTGGGTGTGTTCTGAGGCAGGAGAACATAGCAGTGCTAAGGAAACTTCACTCACCCTTTCCGATAAAACTGGGATGAGAACATCAGCAGACCACAGTGGTGTCACAGTTATTCAGTGTTGGCAAAAGCTCTGAGTGGGAGGCTGGTCTACAGATGCCCAAAATCCCCTTTCCAACATCTTGTCATGGGGTGGGAGCTGCAAGCATGGCGTTCTCCAGAGCAGAGGGCTGGAGGGAACCTCCATGTAGACGAAAACTTTTTCTGTTCTTGTTCTTCCCCTCCAGTGATGATGCAGATATTACCAGATCGCTGTGTGCCCATTGCAAAGAAGGAAATACTGTACATGGGCACTTTTGGCCTCGCATGCTGGCTTTCAGGCATCATTTTCATTGACCGTAAGAAGAAGGAAGAGTCCATTGCTATCTTGACAGAGGTGGCACACGCCATGCGCAAAGATAACGTGAGTGGACGAGACTTCTTGTGGAGAGCAGGAGGCACTGGAAAATGTTAATCTTGATGTGGATGGAAGGTGATCCAGTTCTTTGGACTGTGCACTGAGCAGAACCTCTGGTGGGTTAGCTGTGCTTTGGGCCCAGACAGTGCTTGAGGCAGGGGAAGCGAACGCCTCTGCATAGTCAGGAGCAAGCAGATCAGTCCCAGGAGAATATTTGGTGGAGACACCATCCCTGGAAGTGCTCAAGAAACATGTAGATGTGGTACTTACGTTTGTGGTTTAGTGGGCAGCGTTGGTGGACAGTTGGAATGGATGATCTTAGGAGTCTTTTCCAATCTTAATGATTCTATGATTCCATGTCTGTGCAGTGATTTAGAATAGCAACTGGAGATGCCTCCATCTCAGTGTCTTCTCCCCTCCTGCAGTTCCATGTCTTGATCTTCCCTGAAGGAACTCGCAATCACAGTGGCTCCATGCTGCCCTTCAAACGTGGGGCCTTCCAGCTGGCCGTGAGAGCCCAGGTGAGAGCCGCCTTCCTCCTGCCCTTTGGGATGCAGTTGGGCCACCAACAACCTGGTCCCTCACTTCCCTTTGGACTGAGCACCCACCCATCCATACCTGCAGGTGGTACAGGGGTATTGATAGATTCACTCACTGCTGACTGCTTCCCCACAGATCCCCATTGTTCCTGTAGTGATCTCTTCCTACAACAGCTTCTACAGCCAGAAGGAGAAGAGATTCACATCAGGTGAGGATCACCTGAGGCTGGGTGCTTGCATGGCCTCGGAGGAGCCCTGATGTTGGTGGGAGATAACCATGTGCTTATGTGGGGGCAGAATCTTGGGCTTCAGAGGGAAAAGGTAGAAAAAAAGTCTTTCATTTTCCTACAGAGAAAAACAGCCCACTTTGTTCCGCCCCTTTCTTCCCTGATGCCAATCCAAAATGGGCTTCTGCAACTTCCTGTCCTCCCTTAGGCCAGCACATGCTCTTTCCTAGGAGCAGGACTTGCAGCTGAAATTCTCATTCCTGTCATCATTTGAACCTCTGCAGTCACTTCCCTGAAGGCAGACATCTCCAAGACAAAGTCAAACGCTCCATTATCTGTTTCTACTCAACTGGGCCTATTCTGTCCCCTGCTGGCCATGCAGGAACCTTTCAGTCCTGGAAGCATTCCCCTGCTGGCAGTTTGATGGGAGCACGAGCAGGGGTTCCAGATGTTTAATGTGTGGCGTGGGTTTATGCCCTCCTCTTTTGGGAAGCTCTTCTGCATGCTTCAGTTCACCACCTTTGCAAGGCTCTGCCAGCAACACTTCTGGATCTTATTTCCTAGCATACATGTAAAGGCATGCAAAGGTGTTGAAAAGTAATGCAGGCGCTCCCCAGATGTTGAGGTGGGTATCTGGCAGGCAGCATCTTGTCTCCGCTGGCCAGAACAAGGGCCCCTGGGTACAGGAACAGAAGAGTGTGAGGAAAACTCCCTAGTTTAATTTTTCCATTTGCAACAGTCCGTGCCTCCTGAAAGAGGTATGATATATCTCGGCAAACCAAGGATTTCTGGAATGGTTTCTCTCATCCCATTTCTAAAAGAAAGAACTCTGCTGAATTCAGTACACATAGATCAGGGCATGACCAGTTTGCATGCATTGTGCTACAGACCTCTCATTCTCTTTGCTCAGACAGACTCTGAGGTCTAGGGCTACCATACGATGGATTAATTCTTTCCACCATTCCACATGTTGGTTTGTTTTTATTTTTGCTTTTGTTTTTGTTTTTTTTGCATTGGATGTAGTCAGACATTTGTGCATGGTGGTCTCTATGGACAGGGAAAGTCTGGTCTGGGTTTTTGCTATGTGCATCTGGGTTGCTACACAGCTGTTGGTGTGTGAAATAATGTCTTGCACCTATTTCTGTCTTGCTCCTTGGCTTGCACCAGTTGCTCTGCTTTATCTTGTATGCAACACTTACAACACTCCCCCTCCCTGACCCTCCTGTCTTGCTCTTCCAGGGACGAGCACCATCCAGATCTTACCAGCAGTGGAGACAGTTGGTCTGAGCTCAGATGATGTTCCCAAGCTCACTGAGCAGGTCCGTGACTCCATGATGAGTGCCTATCAGAGGATATCAGGAATGACAAATGGGGGTTCCCACCAGTGATTCCACAACCACAAAAAGGCCCAGAAGCAGAAAACACAAAGCCTGCAAGCCTGACAGTGACAGGCAAAAGCATGGAATCATTTGATTTGGAAGGGACTCTTGAAGCCAACACCCACAGCTCCATCAGTGCTCAGAACCCCTCCAGCCTGATCTTGGCTGTCTGCAGGGATGCGGCACCCACCAAACCTCTGGGCAACCTGTGCAGTGCCTCACCGCCCTTCTTGTACAAACCTTTCTCCTTGTATCCAATCTAAATCTCTCGTCCTGTCACAACAACCCCTGCTAAAGACTCTGTCCCCTTTCTTACAGCCCCTTTAGATACTGAAGGCCGCCCTCAGCTCTCCCCACAGCCTTCTCCTCTCCATGCTGCACAGCCCCAGCTCTCAGCCTGTCCTTGCAGGGACGTGTTCCATCCCTAGGATCATTTTTCTGGCTCTCCTCTGGATGCACTCCAACAGCTCCACGTCTCTCCTGTGCTGAGCACTCCCCATCTGGACGCGGTGCTCCAGGTGAGGTCACAGCACAGAGCAGAGGGGCAGATCCCCTCCCTGCCCTCCTGGCCACACTGCTCTGGGTACAGCCAGGGGATGGTTGGCTTTCTGGGCTGTGAGGGCACACTGCTCGTGCCCAGCTGCCACCCACCGGTACCCTCAGATCTTTTTGGCAGAGCTGTGCTCCATCCTTACACCCCACAGCTTATACTGATAGCAGGGGTTGCCATGACCCAGGTGTGGGTTCCCACCGCTCATTCTGACCAGGTCTCTCTGGATGGCATCCTGTCCCTGAGGCACACTGACCACACCACACAGCTTGGTGTGATCCACTAACTGCTCAGGGTGCGCTCAATCCCACTGTTAATGTCACTGATGGAGATCATAAAGAGCTCTGATCCCAGCGCAACTCACAACCAGTTCCTCATCCATTGAACATCCAGTCCATACCTTTCCAATTTGGAGACAAGGATGTCGTGGTGGACCGTGTCAAAGAAAAATGTCCCCAGAAGAAGAAAAACGTTTAAGTGGTAAAATGGTGGTCAACTTCCTTTCTGAGAACTGTGCTTCCTGAGCTCTATGGATGGACACTCAATGGGCAACTGGACAATAGTTTGTAATCCTGAGAGCTTCCCCGAGAGCTTCTCTCCATCTTGGACCCCAGGACAAGGTGGATCTTTTCCGTGACCATTGCTGTGTGCTTAATCACCTTAAAAGCCAACAAGATGGAGGCATTTATCCCAGAGCCTGTGGCCATCCTGCCTGAGGAGTTGGTTGTCTTGTTAGAAAGTCCCTTGGCCCTCCTTTTAGGCAAAGGGAGGCTTTGTGTTCCATGGTTGGTCAGATCTTGAAAGCACAAAGGGAATGTGCCCACAGGATTTGGAGGCAAACTGCAGAAATACATCACTTGAAGTCCTTGTCTTGCCCTGAAAATGATTTTTTTACGCAACATTTTTTTTTATCCTCATCCGCAATGGGAGCCGCAGCTCCTGATCTCTGGAAGCTTCCTGGTTTTTCCCTGTCTTCTCTATGTCCTCAACACAATTTCTGTTGCAGGCGAGGGAGAATAGAGCACGAATAAGATATAAAATAAACACACTTTAAAAGCTTGAGTTTCATGTACTGAGCTTCTTTAAACCATGGGCTGTACTGTGATTAAAAAGGAAAAGTGGTTTGTGTCTGTGTATGGCCAACTTTGGTGGCCATGGCCTGGAATAGACAGCAGCTCTCTTAAGTTTTGGGACAGATATCTGACGTGCCAGAATAGATGCCAAAGGTCAATGAGCACAATTAAGAATTTTATTAATGCCCAGCAGAGCTGTCTCTGTGCTTCAAAATGCAGCTGAATTCTCCAGTGTCTTCAGAGACTGAAATCTCACTGTGAACTGGAAGCAGCCCCCAGAATTATGCTTTTGTGCAAAGGAAGAAGGACGTGATGGGTGTTGCAATAGAGATTACGTGAACTTGCTAAACTCTGAGTGTGGCAAAGAATAAGGAATTTGATTTAGAAGGCTAAATCAGCATGTAATAAACTGCAATTAAGAGATTATAATCAAGGACAACATTTGAAACCTGTTTCATGCAAGCGCTTTGGCTTCCAGATTTGCCACCCCTTTATGACGGGGTGTAGAAAAATGGCTGTGCCTTTAACATTCCTAAAAACACAGAGCACCTAACCCAGTCTTGTAAAACCCTGACAAGTTTTAGGGCAAAAGATGTCCAAACATCTCTGCTCTGCATGAAGGATTGCACTGTTTTACACATCCGTGGGATAATCCCATCACAGCAGAGCAAAAACAGCAGTAGACTCAGTCCTGAGCTCCTCTCTGGAAGCAGGTGCCAGAGCCTCCATCAGCTGCAGTTGGCTCAGCAGCACATATGGGCAGCAGGTTCCAAAAAGCAATGGAGTGCCATCATTGGGAGTTTCCAGCACTGGTTGCAAGAGCAGGATTAGAAACTGCCCATGAAGCAGAAAGGGCTACTGAGCATCAGAAAGTGTTAGTTGGGCATCTACTTCTCTCCATATTCCCAAGTCACTACATAGCTTAACATAGCAATAGGCCAATAGGAACATCATGGCAGATAGCCTGGTTCACCTGTGTCTTGTTTCACCTCTGGGACACTGTGGTCAAAAAGTACCTCCAGTGACCTGGAACCTGAAGGCCCTTTGAAATTGTGCTTTTCGGGACAAACTCATGGTGCTTAAGGAAGTTTCACTCTGAGCTGTTGGTTTTCAGTGCCTTGCAATTTCACTGCTGGCAGGTTATGCAAAGGCAACTCAGCTTCCTCCCAGCCTGGTGATAAAAAGGTCACGGGAAGCGGCTCAGTGTCTCACTGACCATAAGATGATAAGACCATAAGATCATAAACAAGCTGCTGTTCAGAGGGAAGGGAAGTGACACCTTTAGGTTTCCAAAGCAGTCACCACAATTCAGCCCTTACGCCCTGTGTCCTTCTTACATACTGGTATCTCTCTCACATACTGTGAATGAAACTGACCATGGGAACTGCGTGGAGATATCTGTGCTCTGTGCAGGACGACAACATGATAATCTATATGTGGGTCGCTAGAAGGAAAAACTCCTTCTGCTCTGTCTTCTGCAAGATTCTGTTCTCTTCACATCCACTTCCAGCTAGAAGAGCTTATGCCAAAGTACATGTAGTTGGAGACATGTAGTTGTCTGTTCTTTATATAAAGGCACTCGTGTATCATGTACTCCTGTATCATAATCATGGCTGTGTGTGTTAGACTACAGTTGTGTCAGGCCATGCGCTGTCAAAATAGCTCTAGATACTCCTCAAAAGACTGTAAAGCTTTAGGGAAGGCAAGGGGAAAGCAGAGACTTAGTCTGGCAGAGTAGAAGATTAAAGTGGATTGAGTAATCCTGATTGATTTCTTCATGGACATCTTTGCCGTGAAGGAAGACTCTGGCTGGAATAGATTACCTGGCTTGGAATACATTGCTGAGGGAAGGACACAGGGACTTGGATAGGGTGGATTGTCTGGGATTTTCCATCTGGTTGATAGAAGAGTTACCTTCTAAGGGATGGACTGCAAGGAGATCAGGCTGACAGCACTGATCACTCAGCACCCCACTCAGACGAGTGGGGCTGAAGGGATGGTCACAGTGTGCCTGGGGGCAGGATCACCCCAATGACCTTGATTCCTTTATTTCTTTTTTAATTCTTTTATATTCTTTCTTGGAGAGCATTCGAACGAGGGAAATCTCCTACGTACCTTTGCTGCCCCTCTCAGGCTCATCTTTCCAGGCTGAGAGATCGAGCATGTCAATCTCATGGCAATCAACAAAGTTCCCAGGGCTGCTGGCCCTGAACATGTCCCTGGGTAGCTTTTTGATACGGGTGTTGTCGCAGATCACTCTTGGCATTGAGATTTTTGTCAGTTCTTCCAACTGCTGCGGAGTGAAAACTCCTGGGTTCTCCCACCAGAACCTGCAACGATATTTTCAGAAGCAACTTACAGTATTCTTGAAGTGTTTAGTGATGGCTGTTTCCCAAAATAGACACCTGGCCCAGGTGAATCTCTGCTCAGATCCACTTTCATGCATCAGGCAGTAAGCACTACTCTTTGGAAAGAAGTCTGGATTCTGCCACGCTCAGCTGCCTCTGTAACTTTATCACTGGGACTCAGGGACTGATCCTTCCCTTTAGCACCCTGAGAGCAAATCTCACCTCAGGCAGAGATTAGTGCAGATCACCCTTGGGCTGGAGCTGGCATTCCTCAGCCACGTGTGTCTCTACAAATCAGCTGTTAAGAAAGAGCCCTTCGGCAACCCAGGCTAAAACCCAAGTGTGAGCCCTGCTGCGAGCACATGTGGGAGGTGGGGTGGGAATGGCATGCTCTCAGAGCCACCTACCTGTCCCCATCACGCAAGTTCCTGAACTGGGTGCCAATGATGCAGGCCAGGAGGGGCCCAACTCTGCCCCGGGGAATGAAGGGCTCTGCAATTGCCCCAATCCAGAGGTCAATATTGTCCGGTGTCCCATACAGGACCATGAACTTCTTGGCCAGTTCACTATTGCCCAGCACCTCAGAGAGCTCATCTACTGTTTGAGGCTGGGAGAGCCCACAGAAGCGCCTCCAGGCGTTGTAACCTGCAACAACAGGGACAGAAGCTGCTCAGAGCCCCTGCTGTCCACCCGTCTGCCTACAGTAAGAGCCAAACAGACCCCACAGCCCTCAGCAGCATCTTCCTACAGTGCTAAAGGTTCTGGAAGACATTCATAGCTGGATAGAAACAGTTACAACAAATGCTATGTCAGTGTTAAGGTTTAGTGTAAGGGTCAGAGTTAGGATTAAGGGCTAGAGTTGCAGTTAGGGTACAGTTTGGGTATCGTTGGGTTAGGTTTAGGGCTGTGATTTGCTGCAGGGTTAGGGTTTTGGTTGGGTTAGGGTTAGTGTTTCTGGGTTGCATTGGGGTGATGGTTTAGGGTATGGGTTTGTTTTAGGATCACAGTTAGGGTTTTCACTAGGTTTAAGGTTGGAATTTAGGATTAGGGTTAGTATTGCCACTAGGGCCTGGGTTAGTTTTAGGGATACGCTGAGGTTTGGGGTTAGTTTTTAAGTGCCTTTTAAGGAATGCATACACTAAACGAATATTTTGGGTCTTCTGCATTGTTCAGCATAATCTGCCAATTCAAACCACCTGGTGCTGAGCATGACTGGATCTGCTCTTACATTTTTGGGAGGCAACATTTCCAGGATTAAAATCCTAGCAAATAGCACCTCGTGGTCGTGTTTACTCCAAAAACACCCATTCCTCTGCAGCATGTGGAGCCAATCACCACTGAGTGCACATGCCACTTCTGTTCAGAGCTGTGGATTGTCTGAAGACATGGAAAAACTCTTGCTGGGCAAAGAGCATATGATCTGAAGAGCTCATGTGAAAACTGAGCTTGGTTGATTGGGGCTGTATCTGCTCTACCCCTCACTGTTTTCTTTGCAGTACACCATTGCTTCTACGCATCTCTAACAAATTTTTCCAAATATCACATTTGCCTCCCAAGCCCTTCTTAAACTCTTTGTAAATCCCCAGAGAAAGATCTTTACAACATAAAGAGCTCTTCTCTGAATCTGACTGCCATCTCAAATCAAAGTACCATTTTTTCCCCATCGGCGTACATTCACAGAGCTGCTATGACCAGCAAAGGAAACGGAGCATTGCCCACAGGACAGGGCCTGAGTCTCCTTACCTGGAAGTCCATGGTCTCTTCCCCGCTGCAAGTTCAGTGCTGCTAGATCCAGACCCATGATCTCTGTTTGCTCAAAAAGGTGGTTCTGCAGCTCCTCAGCGAGCATTTGATTCTGTTTCATCAGTTTTGCACGATCCACCACCATGCCGCGTATCAGCGGATCGATGCCACCTGCACTCATTGCAAACCAAAAAGAGACTTTTTGCCAAGTTCCAGCTTTGGTGGTCCCTTTCCAGCAGATGGAGCGGTGCTGTGTTAGATGTTTTTTCTACTCTGAGCAGTGTGTTCACCTAGACTCACATTTCCATTCAAACATATGAACGTACATATGTACGAATCTGCAAAACCCAGTTGATGAGGCTTCTCCTTAGCAACTATACTGCCTACTTCTCCCATTCCCTCAGCATACATACATCCACTTGTTACCCACCAGGGCCTCCCAGTCCTCTTCTGCAGAGCTGCTCCTCAAGCAGTCAGTTCCCAGCAAGTACTGATGCGTGGGATTCTGTCCAATGCTTTGTTTTGCAATTTGTTTTTGTTTAGAATTACCTACCAGTTAGCAAATGTGTTTTAGAACATGAAATGTGAAAATGAAATCAGTTTTTGTCTCTTTTTGTACGTTTTTCAAAGCCATTAAGAAGACAGAATCATTAAAACACAGCAGAAATTAGTGAATTTGTATACGTCAGAATATTTTCCGTAGTAAAATAATTCATTTTGGAAGAGACAACCATCTTTCTTGGGAAGATTCTTGCCTGAAGACATTAATTGTCTAAGAGCTGGATCCTGCAACTTCCTTTGGAGTCTTGAAGAGGGAGGGCCACCATTAGAAAACAATTATCCCATCAGTTGGATTGGATGCGTTACCCTCTGACAACTCCTACCAGTTACAGAAGGA